AAAAAGAAGGATCCAGATTAATAATTACATCATTTACAAGATTTAGAAGAGTTTAGGTTCAAATCTAAATGAAATGATTTAATTCTATATATTTTATAATCATAATCTTCGTAAAGCTATTAAATATTTAAATATTGTTGTTGATTATGTCACCTAAACTGTTTGAAAAGTCTTAAATAGCCAACATTTCTTTTGACTCAGAATAACACAAAATGCCTTATAGGTAATCAAGCTGGAACTATTTGATAAGTGATTCCTTAAGGCCCAACCTCTCAAAGGGTTCTATAAAGTTGATATCCGATAAAATTATTGAATATCAAAATTGTACATATATATAAACAAATTACTATATTTGTCAAACAATCTACAAAAATTGTATTTAATGTGTAAGTATTATAATTTTTGTATTCCACAGCAAATGAAAATATTATTTATCATTGCACTAAAATTCCATAGTCGAATAAGAAATAGAAACAAAAAAAAGGTCAATGAGATATATCTGATAGAATGCTGGAAGGCAAATTAATTTTCTTAATGAATTTGAAGAGTCAATACCATTTAGAAATTTTTTTTAGAGGCTAAGTTAAAATTGATGAATTAGGTTGAAGAATCTCAACAAACAATGGAGTTACATTAACATCTACATTTTTGAGATATTTAATTTAAAAGATTAAACCTAAAATAGTATTTGCTACTCACTATCACATTCTATTAGATGAGTTTGCTTTATGCGAGAAATTGAATAAAGTGGGATGAAGCATTATCAGAAATGCATAGAGTGGTCTTTGAATATAAACTAATAAATGGAAAAACTGAGAAGAACTAGCTAAAAATGAAGCTTAGATCGCATTTCATTCCAAGTGAAGCGATCAAGAACGCTAAATTGTGCAAGAGAAAAACCCAAAAGAAAATCAGAAATAAATATAAATAAAGAAATCTTCAAAAAATTTAATTAAATTAATATGTATTATAAATCCGCCATAAATTATGAAGTATTTATAAAAGTGACGCGAAATTCTTTAAACATAATATCAGTAAGATAAAATGAAAGCTATTTTTGAATTAGAAAATGGTTTCATATCTTATGATTTTAGAGCCTATTGTTTTGAAGGAGCAAGAAAAATTAGATGTTGTTGGACCTTATGGTACATAATCATCCAAAAAGAAACGAAATCTTCTGATTTGTTTGGTAAGAATCTCAATAATAATAATAATTGATGTGAATCATGTGTCATTATAGACGGCCCCTTTGGAGAGCAAGGTCTATACTTGCAATGCAGGAATGTTTGAATATTTCTGCGCGGTCAAATGATCTAGCACATAGTGGAAGGATCATCTTCTCACCAAATGATAATCTTGCTAAACCCAGACGTTAAACGATATCTTATTGTAGATGGAGATAACTTCTTTCATTTCCTTTTCTGGTTCTTAAGACCTTATAAAATTGAGTCAAGTTCTAAATGTCCAATACTCTAATTTCTACTAATCTATATTTTCCATATGGTGAAACATATACTATCATATCTGATGTCATAGATAACATCAAATAAGCCTTTATAATCTTTAGCCAGTCCTTTAATATGTTTACATAGACTATTTTCTACTTGATTCGAGTCATTTCATCCATTCTCAATTAATAATATTTATTCGTTCATAGTAAATGGTGACATTAGATCTTCATAATTAAGTTTCATAAATGGTCATAGACAGCTATTCTTTCAAAACATTTCAGCAAATCAAGTCAACCCTTGCGGAAATACTCCAGAAGGTAAAAGATATTCGTCCTTCCTCCCATCATTTACTTAATCTAAACTAAGAGTTTCTTCTATAGCTTTTTAATTTTATCTAGCTAAATTTAAAATAGTAACAAATTAAAAAGTTATAGAATTTTTATTTATTAACTGTTGATAAATTAATCAAAGATTATAGTCAGGGAATTTTCTTAAATATTTATCTAATTCAAATGAGATTGCTTATAAATTAATAAACAGCTCAGAAATAATAACACTATAAAGATGATTAGAAGGCTTGGTAGATTATATTTAGGATTATAAATACTTCTGCATAGATGAATTTGATTTGCTTATGCTTTAAGCGAGGATTAGATTATTCGGTTGTATGTGCATTTCTAAAATTTACAAAAGACTGGTATTTATAGGTGTGATATTAATTTAGAACTCATTAATGGCTATAATCAAGATTTGAAAAAAGGTTATTGACAAAATGTAAGATCATTATGCTATCTAAATTTATAATGCTGTCATCTATATTTTGCAGACTTCTCATAAAATTATAGAATAATTTCGTAGAACTGTCTCTATATGAAGCAGTAATATGGTCGGCCCTGAGGAAGAGTAACCTGGTACGCCCTGAGGAAGGTACGTACTAGTGTGGGTGGGAGCTCAGCCAATGAGGTGTGAAAAACGGGAGGTTTTGAAAGATAGATTAGAAGGGGTGTAAATTGTAGAATTTTTTAAGTATATATGTATGTATTTGGAAATGATGATTAATGTGTTTTACAAATTTGATAATCAATCAAAAAGGAAATTTTTAATGCCTTTTGTCACTCTTCTATTTCATTAGATTTATAAAATGAAGCCTATAATTTTAAGTATCATCATTACTTTTAGAGAGTTTATTAATGATTCAAAGGATTGAATAAAAAGTGTTGAATTTACAAGATTGTCATTTAAATACTATTGAACATCTAAAAACTGATTGATCTTGGTATTCTGGCTTTGAAAAGATTTGCATCAAACTTACATGTAAAAAATAAATCAGACAAATTAGAAACTCTGCTCAAAGCAGTAAGATGAAATCATTTGCTTGAAATCGACTGCTGTTGGAAAACATTGTAATTATTTATATTAGGTAATGAAATTAAAGAATTGAAACAAGAAAAAAACTATTATTCAAAAATTATAAGAAATTGATTAAAATTTTAATTGTAATGTTCATAATGATATTTCAATTTCACATTTGCTTTAAGTCCTCTAAAATGCACCTTCCTTTTGATTTAAACAATGATTTTAAATCTATGCCTTAATGATTTATGAATTGTCCTTATAAGATAAGTGTTCCTGAGGCTTCAAATAAAGGATTCTAACATATTCTAAGTATTGTAGGATCAGGATTAACTAAATAATAATAAATAATAAATACCATTTGGCAATAAGGAGCTATTCTGAAGTGGTAATTTAAAACTGGGCAAGCAGATCTTTGTAGCTACTATCTGATTTATCTCCTTTGATGTTTTAACATATTCCAAAGCAGAATAGAGATTCATATTCCAGCCGTAGGGAGCTTAGGAAAACCCCCTACTATATTCTGGATGAAGGTACCACCCCCTGGATTTGTGAATTTGAAAATTTCCAAAATTCAAAGGAAAAAAATCTTTCATATAAAAAAATACTACCATTTTAAATTATGCTTATTCTTCTAGTAGAGGGGTTGAGGTTTTGGGTTCTTTGATAACATTTATCCCTAAATACCCTGTTTTGTTTTGATTAATTGAAAAAAGATGCTTGATGTTAGAAAAAATATTAGATATAATTCGGAAAATTTAAAACAATTTAATAATTAAAGTTTTGAGGAGAATTTGGGTTGGGGTTATATTTTATTTAATTGAGTCAATTCAAACAAAAGGCTTCTCTCAAATTAAGAATAATTTTTTTATATTTTTTTTATTCACTATTCATAATTCTCAAAAAATCTAACAATTACTATTTGTTTAAAACAAATTTTAAAATAAAGTAATAGAAATTCAATATTATTTTAATAGAATATGAATTGCACTCATCATATTCAAAATTAAGTATCAATAATATGTCTTGCTCCTCACAAGTGTCCATGTTAAAGGAGGCTGTGTGTTGAATGTTAATATGAACATGAGGTGGAAAAACAACACACAGTTCCAATAAAAATTTTTCAGGAAATGATGATGAAGAAATTTTATAAATCTTATCCTTAACAAACATCTGAACTAATAATTTAAAGAAAGAATTTTAAAGAAATGCTTTCTTCAACTTAAAATAAGTTAAGGTAAATTTGGGTTGGATTAGAAGATTCAATAAATTAGATGTATGAAATGATTGAGATGGAAGATAAGTTCTATGTGAATTTCATAACAAATAATGTGAATCCTACAGAATTGTCAAATACTGAATTAGAAAAATTAGTTTCAATTATCTTAGGAAAAACATAAGAGGATAGGAATGATTAAAAAAAATCTTATTTGATGCAGTTGGAAATGATAAAGAAATATTGGAAAGAAACTCAGACATTTTGTGACAACTTTAATACAGAATTGAAAGGGATTATGTAATTCATAAAAAAGAAGGTAAATAATCCATGGGAAAACTTAAAAGAAATAAAATCAGTTTATAACAGAAAGGAAGATTTGTATTAGGTATTGACTTAGAGTAAAAATATTGATGGGGCCTACCTGAATGAGGTAATTGAAATGTTGAGAAATGAGGAAATAACAAATTGTTTGAAGTTTTTTTCAGATAAAACTCAGTTGAAATTTATCGCTTCTATGATTTAAAACATTAGTGAGATAGACTTTAGTAAGAAGAATTATTCAACTGAGAACAATGATTAAATTAGAAAAGAATTGATTAAAAAAATATCTTATGGTTAGCACATCATTGAATTTTTGAAATTTCTTGTATCATTG